ATGACCATGTTGTACATATGGACAAAGTCCGAATAACGTTATGCACGTATGCGTGTATATATATATATATATATGTGCATGTGTGTGCCGGCCACTAACACACGTGGGCCGGCCAGGTAGACATACGGCTGGTCCTTAAAGTCATTCATATGGAGTGCGCTCGCCGCGAACACGGTGGGGAACCTCGCGGGCCACGGCTGGCGGCGAATGGTCGCGGAGCGCGCTGCTCCGCTACCAGCTAGAAATTAAGGCTCGTGGCGGTGAAGATACGTCTTCAATATCAAGAACAGCACAACATGTGAATAGAACGGGGATAGCACGGGCACGGGGGTCGGCCGACCCCCGTGCCCCCGAACAAAACGGCAGCGGCGGGGAAAGACAATTCAAGGCAGGGGAAGCAACCACGGTGTGGTATGGTCCCGTTCGGGTGCAGGAAGGAGAAGGAGGAGGAGAAGGAGCAGGAGGAGGAAGAGGCAGAGGGAGGAGAGGAAGCATGTGGTAGACGTGGAAAGGGGGGAAGGAGGATGAAGGAGGGAGGGAGGGATGCGATGGAGGAGGAGGAGGGAGGACAACAAGGGGCGAGAGGGGAGGAGGATGAGCAGGAAAGGGAGAGGGGGGGGGAGGAAGAGGCGAGATGCGATAGACGGGGAGGCCGAGGAGGAGCGGGATGTGTCAGGGCAAGAAGGCCGCGGAGGTGGAGGCGGGGGTTTGGGCGGCTGGAGCAGGCGGAGGCAAGACACACGAGGGGGTTAAAGCCGGGAGTGTGTGCGTGGCGTGCCTCCGCGGCGGCCCCTGCGATGCGCTATGGCCTGCAAGCGGACAGCGTGTCGCTCCGCTCCGCAGCGCGGGAGGCTCGGAGAGGCTCGGGAACTTGACGCCCAGGGAGCGAGAAGTGATTAGCACGTCGCGCTGAAGCGTGGTGAACCAGAACCCGCCGTATGTTGCACCTTCGGGGGGGGGGGGGGCTTGCCTTTCCCATCCCGTCGCATTTCGCGTCGAACCAGCGTCAAACCCAAAGCGTACACGCGAATCCAGATCGAATCCGCGTCGGATCAACATGGACTCCGCTGCGAATCCACGTCGAGCCAACGGTGCATTTTCTGGAGAAGGCAGCAACTGATTGGACAGATAAGGTCCCCTGAAGGTGCGATGAAAAGGGGATTGAGAATGAGAACGTCTGCTCGCTAATAGAAGATAAGGCTTACACGCGGGAGGGGGAATTCCAAACGGACCCCTGTCGGGTCGCCTTGCATAACATTTTGCGCCAGAGACCGCAATGGACCCGATCCAAATACTATTACTTCATCAAAACCTTGCAAATGTGCCATCCATTACCTGTTAAAACACTGACTGGCCCGCTTACCCAACGGTCGGAAGAATTCGCAGACACATGAAGTAGGGAGGCGGTCAATCTATACTGGAGTTCCTCCCGCCCCATGAAGAGGAGGGAGAAGGGAAAACCGCTCGACACTTCAAGTGCAGTCCGTAGGAAGGCGCCTAACATATATCGGAATCTGTGAAGCCCAAAGTACCTACTTTCAACAACCGATGGGCACTGGCATAGCAGCTGCAGAAAGGGCAGAAGGGAAGGAAGGAACAAGAAAAGACCGCACCGTACGTCGGATCGGCAGGTCGCAGGTCGTTCCGACTCGAGGAGTGCCGACGAAGTAGATCCAAAGATGGGATCTATAGAGCTCCAGTCGATATGTTGTTTGCAACGTCGGATCTCGTGGTAGAGCGGACAACATCGAATCGGCAAATCGGTTCGGATCGGGTCGCGCAAGGCCGCATCGGCACGGAGTCGGGATCGAGTCGGACCAGCTGCGTCAAGGTGCCCAACAACGGCACGCAAACATTGGGCCACATCGGATCGTCGGAATAGCCCAATCGAATCAGATCGAGTTGGCTGGAATCGATATCGGATCAGATCGACCGGGTCGGAATGGACCCTGGCAGGCCGGGTCGGGTGGAGGATGCTTCATCAGAAGCAAACAGAACAATCCGTATATATACACATACATATACATATGTATATATACACATATATATACATATATATATATATACATATATATATATATATATATATATTCGTATACACACATATGTGTTTTTCAAAACTGCATGGGCGCTTCGTGCCATGCACCTTGATCCTTGAAAGTCGTCCAACCGACAATTTAGCGATACCTCCTTGTTGCATGTTCCGGCATCGCCGTTATAATAATGTGATTCGTCACCCTTCCTCCATGCTTACTTTTCATCCTTCTCGCCATACCCTGCGCACTCCCCCCATCCTTCTCAGCTCTTTTTGCGGAGGCTCCGCCTTGGAGCCCCTGGGGGCCTCACAACAGTTTTTCAAGCTATCTGAAGGCCTTATGGAGGCCTCCTGGGCATCTTCTGCGAGCCTCTGGGGGCTTCCGCGGGCCGATGGATGTGTGGCGATATTCGAGCCTCCCAGGCGGCTTCGGACGCCCACAAGACCGCCGTCTTGGAACGTCGGGAAGCCGAAAAGAGAAGAAACCCAAAATTCACAGAAAAACGCCAGAAAATGAATGCCTCTTGGGGCCTTCTTGGGAGTGCTCTTGGAAACCTTTTGGGACATTTTGGAGCGATCTTTGGGGGTATAACGGCTTCTTCGGGGTCGTCGTGGATCGCTTTAGGGCCCGCTAGGGTCGTTTCAGGAGCGCGCCGGAACGCCTGGAGCCCTCTGAGGCCGTCTTCGAGCTCTCGCGGGGTTATCCCGGGTCGTCTGGAGGGTTGCCCGAGAGGCCCGGGGCCAAATTCGCTCGGGGGGGGACCCGGGGTCCCCGGCCCTACAAACATATATGAATAGGAATGCGCATAAGCATTCATGGGTCCGCGCAAAGGTCTTGGCTCTACGCCTACGCCGGACACCCCTCCGGGGCGCGGGGAGCGCGCCAGCGGCGGCACTGGAGGCGCCGCCAGGAGGGCCCAAAGCAGATCCGAGAACGCCGTGCGGACCTCCGACGGCGTGTGCTTACGCAGCTGCTTCTTCTTCGAGCCACGCGCTCGCCCTCCCCCGCGGACCAGGCACGACGCTGCGGCACAGAGGTGGCGGGCCGCCGCGCGGTCGGCCTGCGCCCTGCCTGCGGGTGCCAGGCCCTGCGTTGTGGGCCAACGGTCCTTCGGGATCACCCCGGTGTGCAGGGTACAGTCGGCCTTGATCGGACAGGACACGCGAGAGGACACAAGACCCTTCCGAGGGCCATATTGCCACAGGAGTGTGAGAAGGCACGCGTCGCGAGGCACAGGATACAAGGGCACCCTTGAGCTGGCAGGGTCGACCTACTAATCTGGGCCGACTGTAGCGCTTGCGGTCAGGGATCGCTGCTCGGCGCGTCGCTGCGGCGGCCCCTGCGGCACGCCATCCTCCTCCTCCTCCTCCTCCTCCTCCTCCTCCTCCTCCTCCTCCTTGCCCCCCGCAAGCGGATAGCGTCTCGCTCCGCTCCGCGGGGCGAAGGGCTGGGCACGGCTCCGGACGCGGACGCTCGCGACGTGGACGCTCGGGGGCCACGTCGTGGACGGCGCGCCGCGCCGAAGCGCGGAGGGCCAGCACGGGCGGCGCGGCACGCCGAGCCCGAGCTGCTGACCCGCAGGCACTGCCCGTGAAGCAGAGGCACTCGAGAGGAGCGGGGCAGACGAGCGACGCGCGAGTCGTCCCCGCAAGGGGGGCGCAGGGGGAGCGGCCTGCGCGGGGCGGTCGAGGCACCGAATACCCGATCGGCTGAGGTGCCCGCTACTCCTCCTCGTCCTCCTGTTTGATGGGCCTGTTCTCCACCACCACCACCATAAGTTGGAGGGGGGGAGGAGGAGGAGGACGAGGAGGAAGAGGAGGAGGAGGAGGAGGAGGAGGACGAGGAGGAAGAGGAGGAGGAGGAGGAGGAGGAGGAAGAGGAGGAGGAGGAAGAGGAGGTGAGGACCCCCTCCCCCTCCAATGTGTGGTGGTGGTGGTGGTGGAAAACATGCCCATGACTGTTCCCCTCACTCCGCACTCGCCTTCACGAAACGTATCAGCTGAACCTGCCTGCCTCAAAAAGTATAGGTTCAACGTCCACTACCTCGTCGTCTCCCCCTCAGTCTCGATTCCGCTGCGTCGCCCGACTCCGCTGCTCTACTCCCTTACACTCTTATCCGCCCGCCCTGAAATTCTTCCTCTCCCGAGCTTCAGTGCCTGCCTCCTCCTTCACTCATCTGCCCCCTCACTCTTTTCGTTCCTCTGTCACTTGCTCGCGCGCTGCCTTTTGCCTCCTTTCCTGTAAGGGGGGCGCGTCAGGCGTGGACAGGCTCAGGAGGGGGGGAACATCATCGGTAAACCATCGCCAATAGATCGGCGATGGGCCCCCGATAATTCGCGAATCTGCATCGTCCTGGGCGGGGATGGCTATCAGGCCCCCATCGGCGATGAATTGGCGTGTCGGGGTCGATGCGTGCCCCCCTGACCTATTTCCCCCCTCGCGTTGCCCCTCACCCTGCCTGCCCCCGACGCACCTTCCCTCTCCCCCCATGCCTTTTCCCGACCCGCCACAGGCCCTGCAGCTGGTCTGGTGGCATGGATGCTGCGACGACGCGATCAAAACGCAACTCTCCGAAGTTCCAGACCCCTGCCCCAGGAGGACTCGCATTCTCCGTTTCCTGACGGCCCCGGGAGCCCGGCAAGGGGCCCCAAAGTAGGGCGACGAAATCTATACATATCCACTGCTCCCTGGCCAGGCCCATCCTCAACCCCGCAGCGGTGTATACGCCACGCCCTCCTGGCTTGGCCAGGAGGGCGCATACACAGCTCCTGGGTTCAAGATGGATATGTATAGATTTCGTCGCCCGACAAAGGCCGAGAACAGCCGAACGCCTCCCGTCGTCACGCCTCACGACTCGAGGCGGTCAAGGCTTCCCTTTCCCTCTCGGCGCGGCCGTGGTCGCACACGCCGCACGCAGCCGCGGGGGGGGGGGGGGGGGCGCTGGGCCGCCCTCGGGCACCGTGCTCACTTGGACAGCAGGGGAGCCTCAGGGAGGCCGCGCTGCCAGGAGGAGCGCCGAGCAGAGCAGGGAAGGGCCTTCTCGGGCCACGGCGAGCCTCCCCCGACGAATGCAAGCCACGGCCCGAGAGAGGAGGAGGAGGAGGATCGAACTCCTCCTCCTCCTCCTCCTCCTCCTCCTCCTCCTCCTCCTCCTCCTCCTCCTCCTCCCGAGGAATGCAAGCAACGGCCTCCTCCTCCTCCTCCTCCTCCTCCTCCTCCTCCTCCTCCTCCTCCTCCTCCCCCTCTCGAACCCCAAAACGCTCATTGCTCCAGCGCCTTCGCTGCACGGATCCAAGCAAACGATCCATCAGCGAGTGGTTGACGAGGCTTCGGCCGGCAGGGTCCCATGCGATTGCATGAGCACCATCTGGGGCTTACCGCTGGCTAGCGCTTGCTGTGCTGACCCAGCATGGATCTCGAGCAGAGCAGGCGACCGATGCTGCAGTGGCGCATGAATCAAGCTGCAATGCAGAACATGCATGCCGTGACGGGTACCCACGACGTCGTGCTGTGTGCGCCATCATGGCCCCAACAAGTCTGGACGCCTTCCCTGGGACCGGCTTTCCACCCCCCGAATCTCTGCCTGACCGCCCCCCGAGGCTCGACGAGGACCCCCTGAGGCCGCAAATTGCCAGAAACCTTCTGCCTTGACCTTTCCACGGCGCGAGGACGTCTGGCTTTCGGTTCATCACTCCGGCCTCGGACGGCCGCTCGGCACGAGTCGGACCCGCCCCGGATGCCCTCGGCGAGGCGCGGCTGCTGGAACGCGCCCCCCTGCGAGAAGACCCCCCGCAAAATTTCGCGAACACAACAGAGCATCTCCACGAGCATCCGTGCCACTCCGCGCCTTCCTCCTCGTGCCGCTCGGCACGATTCGGACCCGCCCCAGATGCCCTCGGCGAGGCGCGGCTGCTGGAACGCGCCCCCTCGGCGAGAAGACCCAACAAGCATCCCTGCCACTCCGAGTCTTCCTCCCCGTGGCGCGCAGGGGCGACCCTGGGAGGACTGCATCCCAAAACGCCGCCGTCGTCTCGCCGGGGCTCCCCCCGCCTGCCGCCGAAGCCGAGGCTGCGCCGAAGGCCAGGCCCTCCCCCCCAGACGTCCGACGCCGCGATTTGCTTCGCGACGTGGAGGTTCCGACCAGTTCCCCAGGACTGGCTCTCTTCATCCCGGCTAGAACGTTCCGACGGTCGTGGGGCCGGACAGAGGCCCCCCGAGGCCGAACACTGCCCAGTACGACCTCCCGTCGTGGCTCGTCCACGACGCGAAAGAGGATGGGCCTGGAACGCCTCAAGCACGATCTGCCCATCCGTGGCCCCACCGCCCAGGCCCCCCCCCCCCCCCCCCCCCCCCGGGCGGCTGGAGCGCGCCCGGGACAGGGTGCTGACCCCTGCCCCGCCCGAGCCACTCGGGAACCCAAAGCCAGGCGACGCCCCCCGCCAAGGCAGCCCATAGCCAGGCGATGCTTTTGGGCTGCAGCCGGGAGCTCTGGATAGCTTTAAGTCGGGCGTGTCCCCCTACGGGGGGCTTTGGGGCAACAAATAAAACATTATCCTGCGACGTACCCAACCTTTTCTACACAAGTGGCACTTGCATTCAGGACCACTCAATACCGAAGGACATTTCAGCGCCATGTGGTATAGTGGTGATCTGCGTAGGACGTACCTCCGCTGAGCCTCCCAGAAACCAATGCGCGCCAGGTGAGCCAAACGCGCCAGGTGCGCCAGGTGCGCCAGGTGCGCCAGGTGCGCCAGGTGCGCCAGGTGCGCAGGTGCGCAGGTGCGCCAGGCGCGCCAGGCGCGCCAGGTGCGCCAAATGCGCCAGGCGCGCCAGGTGCGCCAGATGCGCCAGGTGCGCGCCAAGTGCGCGAAGTGTACGCCAGGTGCGCGCCAGGTGTGCACCCGGTGTGCCAGGTGCGCCCAACGCGTCATGTGTGCCAGGTGCGCCAGCTGCGCCAGGTACGCCAGGTGCGCCAGGCGCGCCAGGCGCGCCAGGTGCGACAGGTGCGCCAGTGGCGCCAGGCGCGCCAGGTGCGCCAGGTGCGCCAGGTGCGTCAGGTGCGCCAGGCGCGCCAGGTGCGCTAGGTGCGCCAGGCGCGCCAACTGAGCCAAGTGCGCCAGGTGTGCGCCAGGTGTGCGCCAGATGCGCCTAGCGCGCCAGGTGCGCCAGGTGCGCCAGGTGCGCCAGGTGTGCCAGGTGCGCCAGGTGCGCGCCAGGTGCGCCAGCTGCGCCAGGTATGCGCCAGGTGCGCGCCAGGCGCGTCAGGTGCGCCAGGTGCGCCATTTGCGCCAGGCGCGCCAGTTGCGCCATGCGCGCCAAGCGCGCCAGGTGCGCCAGGTGCGCCAGGTGTGCCGGGTGCGTCAGGTGTGCCCAGCGCGCCAGGTGCACCAGGTGCGCGCCAGGTGCGCCAGCGCGCCAGGTGCGCGCCAGGTGCGCCCAGCGCGTCAGGTGCGCGCCGGGTGCGCGCCAGGTGTGCGCCAGGTGTGCATCCGGTGTGCCAGGTGCGCCCAACGCGTCATGTGTGCCAGGTGCGCCATTTGCGCCAGGCGCGCCAAGTGAGCCAGGTGCGCCATGCGCGCCAGGTGCGCCAGGTGCGCAAGGTGCGCCAGCTGCGCCAGGTGCGACAGGCGCGCCAGGTGCGCCAGGTCTGCGCTAGGTGTGGCAGGTGCGCCAGGTGCGCCCAACGCGCCAGGTGCGCCAGGTGCGCCAGATGCACCAGGTGTGCCAGGTGTGCGCCAGGTGCGCGCCAGGTGCGCCAGGTGCGGCAGGTGCGGCATGCAGGTGCGTCAGGTACGCCCAGCGCGCCAGGTGCGCCAGGTGCGAGCCAGGTGCGCCCAGCGCGTCAGGTGCGCCCAGCGCGCGCCAGGTGCGCGCCAGGTGCGCGCCAGGTGCGCGCCAGGTGCGCGCCAGGTGCGCGCCAGGTGCGCCAGGTGCGACAGGTGCGCCAGGTGCTCCAGGTGCGTCAGGTGCGCCAGGTGCGCGCCACGTGCGCCCAGCGCGTCAGGTGCGTCAGGCGCGCCCAGCGCGCCAGGTGCGCGACAGGTGCGACAGGTGCGTGCCAGGTGCGCCAGGAGGACAGGGAGGCTTCAAAGTGGTCTGCGTGAGACGTACCTCCGCTGGGCCTCCCAGGAACCCACGAAAGTGGCGACGGTTGCGCAGATCGCAGCCCCGCAGGGGACAGGGAGGCCTCAAAGTGGTCTGCGTCGGACGTACCTCCGCTGGGCCTCCCAGGAACCCACGAAAGTGGCGACGGTTGCGCAGATCGCAGCCCCCCCAGGGGACAGGGAGGCCTCAAAGTGATCTGCGTAGGACGTACCTCCGCTGGGCCTCCCAGGAACCCACGAAAGTGGAGACAGTTGCGCAGATCGCACCCCCGCAGGGGACAGGGAGGCCTCAAAGTGGTCTGCGTAAAACGTACCTCCGCTGGGCCTCCCAGGAGCCCACGAAATGGCAACAGTTGCGCAGATCGCAGCCTCGCAGGGCACCGCGAACACAGGAGAGAAGAAGGAGGAGAGGGCGGGAGGTGGATACCACAGTGCTCTATTCAAAACGAGTGCCCAACACAAGGAGGGTTGGGAAACATGCCAAAAAATACCCAAACCTATTCAAAAATATTGAAACATCGTTCCAATACGATTCCTTGACAATTTTTGAATACCCCCCCTGTAGAGGGACAGGCCCAACTTAAGGATAGCGTGTCGCCGCGGGAGCCCCAGCGACACGCTGCGCCCTCCGAGCGGCTAGCACGTCGCGCAGCGACGCGCGACTGCCTTCGCGCTTTCGCGCCCCCCCCCCCCCCGCGAGGCGCGAGGGACTCGCGCCTCGCTCTGACGTCGCCCAGACTGCGAAGCGCGACAAGCTTCGCACCCTCGTGGTGGCCCTAATATTAGGTCGGGCATGCCCCCCTACAGGCGGATTTTGAGCGACAGATGAAACAACTGGCCCAACAGTAGATCAAACATGCGGAAAATCACTCAACAGCTCGTCCCCCGACTCTGTTCTCCCTATGCTTGGGTACTCCTCCTGCAGAGGGACAGGGCCGACTTGAGCCTAGCAGTACCCCCTCCCCCGGAGAGTCGCAGCAGCTCCTCGCCGAGCGAGCCCCCGTGGCGTGCAGAGCGCGCCCCGCGAGCGCTCCGCGAGGGGAGGCCGCTCCGCCGCCCCAGGCCCGCCCGGGCCGCGGCGCGCGATCGAGGGGGGGGGGCAGGACGCGGAGGGCACGGCCCTCGGAGGGGGCGGAGGGCACGGCCCGGAGCCTTCTCCTCCTCCTCCTCCTCCTCCTCCTCCTCCTCCTCCTCGTCCTCCTCCTCCTCCTCCTCCTCCTCCTCGGCCTCCTCCTCCTCCTCCTCCTCCTCCTCCGTCCTCCTCCTCCTCCTCCTCCGCCTCCTCGGCCTCCTCCTCGACCTCGTCCTCCTCCTCCTCCTCCTCCTCCTCCTCCTCCTCCTCCGACTCCTCCTCCTCCACCACGTCGCCGCGGCGGCCCCAGGGACACAGCCTGCGAGCGGACAGCGCGTCGCCCCGCCACGGGGGGGCGGCGGGCTCGGAGGGGGCCCGGGACGCGGACGCGCGGGGGCCCCGAGGTGGACGGCGTGTCGCGCCCCAAACGTCGTGGGCCGGAGCCGGCGGAACGGCACGCTGTCCAGAAAGGCTCGTGATGATGATGATGATGATGATGATGATGATGATGATGAGGAGGGAGGAGGAGGAGGAGGAGGAGGAGGAGGAGGAGGAGGCGGAGGAGGTCGGCGGCGAGCGAGGGGGGGGAACTGAGAAGGACGGGACGCTGTCGGCGGAACGAGCGAAAGACCCGACCGTAGGACGAGAAAGATGTCATGATACGATAGGCTCAGGGTGCGTTCCAGGAAACTCTAGCGCATCTTGCGGCCCTCGCTGCTGCAGCCCGTGTCGAAAATGAGGGATTCTGAAAGATCTTGGCACTGCTGGACCGTATCATTCGGATGACTTCTTGCCCCTCTGAAAGAGAGGGGCTCCTGAAAGCCCAGCCTCTGAGAGGCCTGCTCAGAAGCATGTGGGCGCTGCACACGGGAAGGCCCCTCACCCTCTGAGAAACGCCCCCCCCCGCCTCTCGGAAGGCCGCCCCGCTGCGCGCCGACCACCTCGCGCCGCCCCACCGGGGCCGTGATTCCGGAAACCTCCACCACCTCACCAGGGGCCAGCCTATCGTCAAGAGGGGTGAGGGCCCGGTGGAGGCCGCAGACTGACGGAAGCCTTCAGTCGACTTGTCCGCGGCGCGAGGACGCCTGGCGTTCGGGTCATCACTCGGGCCTCGGGCGGCCGCTCGGACGGCCTCTCGGCCACGGGCGGTGGCCCCCGTGGAGGCCGCGGACTGCCAGAAGCCCTCCGCCGCGGCTCCTCTGCGGCCCGGGGAGGTCGCGGGGTGCGCGCCGCACCATCCGCCACCGCATGACTGTTGGCCCCAGTCGCCCGAGAGTCGTACCCGGAGAACAACCCGAGTCACAGAACCGCGAGGCCACCCCGGATCTCACTCACCCACCACACGGTGCGGCCACCGCACCTCACGTTCCCAGGCATCCGACGTGTTGATTCTGTCAATACGGGGTCCCTGGAAGTCCAGGGCTGGCTTCTCGCCCAGAGTCGTTTATCGGCCATTCCGGGGCCCAGAGGTCGAACACTGTCAAAAAGCATCCCGTGGCGAGACCAGACATCCTAAGATGTGACTTGTTCACTCCGCGGCCACAGAGGTCCCGAACCCTTCCCAGGGGGTAGTTTCTCGTTCGTATCGGACATGTGTTTGTAGGAGAGAGCGTGATCCACCGCCGCTTTACTGTGGAAAATTGCCAACCTTTTCCTCCGGAACCCGGGGGTCGCCCCCCCCCCCCCCTCCGAAAATCCCCCCCCCCTGCTGGAACCACCCCCCACCCCCCCCCCCCTCCCCCGGCAAAACCCCCCCCTCCCCTAACCCCTCCCCACCCCCCCCTCCCGCTCGAAAACCGGGGGGGTCACTACAGGTTCGAACCCCTCCCCCCCCCCCCCCCTCCGGATCAGGAAAACCGGGGGGTCACTACCGGTTCGAACCCCCCCCCCCCCCCCCTACTCACCGCCAGCAAACGACTCCCGGTCCCCACCACCGTCCGCATCACATCCCCCACTGGTGTTCCCAGCACCACTGTCCTCACCACCGCTGTCCCCACTGGTTCCACCACCGCCCCTACTGTCCCCACCAGTGGCCCCACCACTGTCGCACTGTCCCCGCTGTCCCCAGAACTGTTCCCACCACGGTTCCACCACTCTCCCCACTGTCTCCACGGCCCCAACCACTGCCCGACTATCCCCACTGTCCCCACTGTCCCACTGACTCCTCCGCTGTCCCACTGAGCTGTCCCACTGTTCCCACCACTGTCCCCACTGTCCCCACCACTGTCCCCACTGTACCTCTGTCCCATTGTCCCACCGCCGTCCTCGCCACCGCCTTCACCACTGTCCCCACCACCATTGTACCCTCCACTGTCCCACTGTTTCCACCTCATTCCCATTGTCCCCACACCACTGTCCCCACCACCACCGTCACCACCACTGTCCACTGTCCCCCCCTGTTCCCACCATTGTCCCCACCACTGTCCCCACCACTACCGTCCCCACCACTGTCCCACTGTCCCACTGTCCCCACCACTGTCCCGCTATCCCCTCACCACTGTCCCCACCAACACCGTCCCCACCACTGTCCGCACCCCCACTCGGTTTTCGAGGGGGGGGGGGGGTTCGAACCGGTAGTGACCCCCCCCGGTTTTCCGGATCCGGAGGGGGGGGGGGGGAGGGGTTCGAACCGGTAGTGACCCCCCCCCTTTTCATGATGAGCAGGGGGGGGGGGGGAGGGGTTCGAACCGGTAGTGACCCCCCCGGTTTTCCGGAGGGGGGGGGGGGGGGGGAGGGGTTCGAACCGGTAGTGACCCCCCCCGGTTTTCCGCCAGCAGCGGTAGAACACGCTCTTTCGTTTGTAGTGCTCCGGGGATCGTCAGAGATTATGGGAGCATGTCTGGGACCGCACCTTAGATGAAGTCAGGGCAGGGACAACATCGGACCAAGACAAATCCGGGATCTTGGAGATCCCGCGATTCTGAAGGATGCATCGGGCGCCGCGGCTGTCTCAGAGCAGTCTGGAACGCTCTGAGAAAGTCCCGAACGCTCTGGAACGATTTATCCTCATAGGTCCAGCACTCCAACTTGTTCGATGCAAGGGCCCCTGGAGGTCTGTGGCAACTTTCCGTGGACTGGCGTTTCATCCTGATTCATCTGTGATGGTCCCGGGAGCGTTGAGGGCATACGGAAAGTAAAACGATCATCAACAACAACAACAACAACAACAACAGCAACAGCAACAGCAACAGCAACAGCGACAGCAACAGCAACAGCAACAGCAGCAACAGCAACAGCAACAGCAACGGCAGCAACAACAACACAACGTCTACCCACACTTTCGGAACCTCGGATCTCTGGGTCCCTGTCCTAGCCCCCCCGCCCGATCACCGTAGGCCGCCGCGCTGGCGGGCATGTTGCGTGACCCCTCTCGGGAGCCCTCGGGGGAGCCCTCGGAAGCCCAACAGGGCTGATGTGTCCCGGTGGTGGCCCCGTGATCCGACGGGGCTGTGCGACCCCGTGCTGGCCATCCAGTACAATGACTTGTTCACGCGAACGGACCGGACGGCGGCACATGTTCCTGGCCCCGATCGGGGGCCCCCGACACACACATCACCACCCTCGGGGATCTTCTGACCCGGGTCAATCTAGATCCGGGTCAGCAGGATATCAAAACACTGCAATGCAAGAAACAACAAAAAATGCAACGCAGGTCTTCGCAAACCCGGGTCAGCCAATGTGCGCGGCCATGAGCGGCCATGAGCGGCTCGCTAGCCCGAGTCAGCCAGAGGGGGTCTTCGCAAGATCCTGCAGGATTCGGTGCCTTGGCTGACCTCCGTTTGCACTGACCCCCGTAAGTCTTGAGCCCCGACAGCCCCCCTGCTTGCCGTCGCTCGGACGTCCATTTCCCGTGCATTTTTCGGTTTCGTGCGTGTTTTTTTCGCCAAATGATCAAGGATGCTCCTCGATTGTCCTCGCCGAGCGAAACATGCACACGTCCGAGCGATGCCAAGCCTGGGCCCCAGCAGCCAGGCGAGGCGCCTTCTCCAGAGGCTGGCCCTCGTGGGAGGCGCGCACCGCGCAGGCCGCGAGGAGGCCGCCTGCCCCCCCGCGGCCGGGGCGGCGTCGACGTCGACGTCGGCGTCGACCACCACGTCGGCGTCGAGGTCGATGGCGTCGACGTGGTCAGCGGCGGCGCCGACGACGACCACGCCAGCATCGAGACACGTCGACGAAGGCGACGACGACGACGACGACGACGACGACGAGCACGACGAGCACTTCGACGACGACGGGCGACGAGCGAGCGAGGAGGGAGCGAGCGGGCGTGCGAAGCTGGGAGCAAGGGCGTCGTGTCTTGGGCAGTGGCGAAGAGGAGGACCACTGCTAGGAGGGGAACTCAGACATCCAACGTCTTGAAAAAAAACATTTAGGAGGGAAGCTCAAACATTTTTACCTAACAGCGAAATCTGATATGTTTCTAGTAGGGTCAAAAGAGAGCATCATGACGCCCCAGGGGGGTCTGGGCGCGATCCGGGGGGATGCAGGGGAACTCGTTTTAAGCAAACAGTAACGCACTTCGTGGTCTTCGAGTTCCCAGAACTCCATTCCTGGGCATGATTTTGAATGCCCGGAGCCAACTGTAGGCCACTTCGTGTTCTTCGTGTTCCCAGAACACCATTCCCGGGCCACATTGTGAATGCCCGGAGCCAACTGTAGGCCACTTCGTGTTCTTCATGTTCCCAGAACACCATTCCCGGGCCACATCTTGAATGCCCGGAGCCAACTGTAAGCCACTTCGTGTTCTTCGTGTTCCCAGAACACAATTCCCGGGCCACATTTTGATTGCCCGGAGCCAACTGTAGGCCACTTCGTGTTCTTCGTGTTCCCAGAACACCATTCCCAGGCTACATTTTGATTGCCCGGAGCCAACTGTGAGGCTGAGGCTGAGGCAGGCTGAGGCTGAGGCAGGCTGAGACTGAGCCTGAGGCAGGCTGAGGCTGAGGCTGAGGCTGATGCAGGCTGAGGCTGAGAGGCTGACGCTGAGGCTGAGGCAGGCTGAGGCTGAGGCTGAGGCCGAGGCAGGCTGAGGCTGAGGCTGAGGCAAGCCGAGGCAGCGAGGCTGAGGCTGAGGCAGGCTGAGGCTGAGGCTGAGGCTGAGGCTGATGCTGAGGCAGGCTGAGGCTGAGACAGGCTGAGGCTGAGGCTGATGCAGGCTGAGGCTGATGCAGGCTGAGGCTGATGCAGGCTGAGGCTGAGGCCGAGGCTGTAGGCAGACCGAGGCTGAGGCTGAAGCAAGCGAGGCCAGGCGCTGAGGCTGAGGCTGAGGCTGAGGGCAGGCTGATGCTGGAGGGCTGGGCTTGTGGCTGGGCTGTAGGCCAATTGCGGCTGATTCTGAGGCTGAGGCTGAGGGCAGTCTGGAGGCTGGAGGCTGATGCAGGCTGAGGCTGAGAGGCTGACGCTGAGGCTGAGGCAGGCTGAGGCTGAGGCTGAGGCCGAGGCAGGCTGAGGCTGAGGCTGAGGCAAGCCGAGGCAGGCTGAGGCTGAGGCTGGAGCTGAGGCAGGCTGAGGCTGAGGCTGAGGCTGTGGCTGAGGCTGAGGCAAACTGCGGCTGAGGCAGGCTGAGGCTGAGGCTGATGCAGGCTGAGGCTGAGGCAGGCTGAGGCTGAGGCTGAGGCCGAGGCAGGCTGAGGCTGAGGCCGAGGCAAGCCCAGGCAGGCTGAGGCTGAGGCTGAAGCTGAGGCAGGCTGAGGCTGAGGCTGTGGCTGAGGCTGAGGCAAGCTGCGGCTGAGGCAGGCTGAGGCTGAGGCTGATGCAGGCTGAGGCTGAGGCAGGCTGAGGCTGAGGCTGAGGCAGGCTGAGGCTGAGGCTGAGGCCGAGGCAGGCTGAGGCTGAGGCCGAGGCAAGCCGAGGCAGGCTGAGGCTGCGACTGCGAGAACAGCAGAATTCTACAACTGGATTCTCACCTAAATCTTAAGGGGAATTCTTCCAGAGATGCTTCTACACATCGCTGTTAGGTTGCTTTGCCGGGATACTTTTGGTCCGCGGGTCGAGAGCGAGCCTCTTCCGGTCGAAGCTAAGCGGGCCGCGCACAGCTTTAATTGACAGAGGGAGGAAAACAGAAGGAGGGGCCTCACGTCAAGAGGGGAACTCAAACATCCAACGTCTTGACAACAAAAACAACGCGGAAATGTGCATACGTTTTTGCGCTCAAGGACCGTTGCAAACGACTCTGAATGAGGAGCCGGTCGTAGGCAAGGGGTCCAGACCGCTGTGGGGGTCCACGTTGTGTCACACAAAGAAGGAGACGTAAAAAAGATGGCGTCGGAGGACTGAGGGGGAGATGGGGAACATAAAAAATTGAAGAGGGGATGGAGGAGGCGGAGGTTGGCGGCGCGTTCGCTCCTCCTTTTTACCTAACAGCGAAGACTGATATGTTTCTAATAGGGTCAAAAACATCATGACGCCCCAGGGGGGTCTGGGCGCGATCCGGGGGGATGCCGGGGAACTCGTTTTAAGCAAACAGTAGCGCACTTCGTGGTCTTCGAGTTCCCAGAACTCCATTCCTGGGCATGATTTTGAATGCCCGGAGCCAACTGTAGGCCACTTCGTGTTCTTCGTGTTCCCAGAACACCATTCCCGGGCCACATTTTGAATGCCCGGAGCCAACTGTAGGCCACTTCGTGTTCTTCGTGTTCCCAGAACACCATTCCTGGGCCACATTTTGAATGCCCAGCGCCAACTGTAGGCCACTTCGTGTTCTTCGTGTTCCAAACACAATTCCCGGGCCACATCTTGATGCCCAGACCACTGTAAGACTTCGTGTTCTTTCGTGTTCCCAGAACACCATTCCCAGGCTACATTTTTTGATTGCCCGGAGCCAACTGTGAGGCTGAGGCTGAGGCAGGCTGAGGCTGAGGCTGAGCAGGCTGAGCTGAGCAGGCTGAGGCCGAGGCTGAAGGCTGATGCAGGCTGAGGCTGAGGCAGGCTGAGGCTGAGGCTGAGGCCTGAGGCAGGACTGAGGCTGAGGCTGCAAAGGCAGGCTGAGGCTGAGGCTGAGGCAGGCTGAGGCTGAGGCTGAGGCAGGCTGAGGGCTGAGGCTGAGGCCGAGCTGAGGCTGAGGCTGAGGCTGGCCGAGGCTGAAGCCTGAGGCTGAGGCAGGCTGAGGCTGAGGCTGCAAGCTGAGGCTGAGGCTGAGGCTGAGGCTGATGCTGAGGCTGAGGCCGAGGCTGAGGCAGACTGAGGCAAGCTGCGGCAGGCTGAGGCTGAGGCTGAGGCAGGCAGGCTGAGGCTGAGGCAGATGCTGAGGCTGAGGCTGAGGCTGAGGCTGATGCAGGCTGAGGCTGAGGCTGAGGCTGAGCCGAGGCAGGCTGAGGCTGAGGCTGAAGGCAGGCTGAGGCTGAGGCTGAGGCAGGCTGAGGCTGAGGCTGAGGCAGGCTGAGGCTGAGGCAGGCTGAGGCTGAGGCTGAGGCTGATGCAGGCTGAGGCTGAGCAGCCTGAGGCTGGCCGAGGCTGAAGGCAGACTGAGGCTGAGGCTGCAGGCTGAGGCTGAGGCTGAGGCTGAGGCTGAGGCTGAGGCAGGCTGAGGCTGAGGCTGAGGCAGGCTGATGCTGAGGCCGAGGCAAGCCGAGGCAGGCTGAGGCTGAGGCTGAAGCTGAGGCAGGCTGAGGCTGAGGCTGAGGCTGTGGCTGAGGCTGAGGCAAGCTGCGGCTGAGGCAGGCTGAGGCTGAGGCTGCTGCAGGCTGAGGCTGAGGCAGGCTGAGGCTGAGGCTGAGGCAGGCTGAGGCTAAGGCTGAGGCCGAGGCAGGCTGAGGCTGAGGCCGAGGCAAGCCGAGGCAGGCTGAGGCTGCGAATGCGAGAACAGCAGAAGTCTACAACTGGATTCTGACCTACATCCTACATCTTAAGGGGAATGCTTCCAGATATGCTTCTACACATCGCGGTTAGGTTGCTTTGCCGGGATAATTTTCCTCCTCTTCACAAGGGCCTAAACGAAGGGGGGGAACACTCTAATGTGGTTGGCCCTATTTGAAAGATTCGAGAGCCTCTGCGGAGACCTCCCGGGACAAAAAGACCTCATGGAGACGTCCGGCACATAGTCTTTCCCAAAAGTAGGGCAACCTAAACTATTATTACGTGCCTGTGCAGATTCAGGGGGGGTCGGTTGGCGGTTTGCGCCGGAGGTCCTCGGGATTCCTTGGTCGTGTCTCCTTACAAAGGCAAACCCTGAGGGTTCCCTGGTCTTTTTTTTTTTTTTTTCTGTGTTCGCGACGGCCTCCAGCCTGTAAGTCGGGGACACGTAAGACCCGGGTACGGGGGACTCGGAAATCCCCGACGAGGTCGTCAAAAAATGACGAGGCCGAGCCTGCATTTTGACGAGGCCTCCCGCTGCAGACATCCCACGAAACTCCTCCTCGTCAAAATCCGAGGCGCGGTCGTCAAAAAACGATGGCGAACCCGAGTCCCGGCAAACCCGGGTCTTACGTTCCCCCGAGTAAGGGAGGCTCAATTTTCTGCGGTCGCCCTGGCAGGGACTTGGACCTCCCTCTGGCCAGCCTCCGCCCACGGCACCGGCGCGGGAAGCACGTGCACGGCGAGCTCCGAGGCCCGCGCACGCCCGCCGGCTTCGCCACGCCAGCCTGAGGCAAGTCCTCGGGTAGGGGGTCGGCGACAGAATTGACGTACCCCAGACTTCACTGCTCTCGTCGGATCCACGAAGCATGCGAAGACTGCTCCGCTGTTCTGCGGACCGTCTCGCGCATCTCCGTCGACTCGGCGAACACTCGCATCTCGGGGCAGGCCGCTTCTGCGGCCCCCCCCCCCCCCGCAGTCGAAGTGCGCGAGCAGCATGCCCCGAGCGCCTGGGCCGCGGGGGGTCGCGCCCCAACATCCTCCCGTTTGCGGCTCGCAGGGAGGAGGAGGAGGAGGAGGAGGAGGAGGGGGAGGAGGAGGAGGAGGAGGAGGAGGAGGAGGAGGAGGAGGAGGAGGAGGAGGAGGAGGAGGAGGAGGAGGAGGAGGAGGAGGGAGGAGGGAGGGAGGAGGAGGAGGAGGAGGAGGAGGAGGAGGAGGAGGAGGAGGAGGGAGCGCTCCGGTGGGGACGGCGCGCGGCCGGCGCGGCGCCACTCGTGCAGCCTCCAGGCGCCCATGCTGCGCATACGCAGGAATCGGGCGCGGCAGGGGGGGGGGCGCGGTCTGTACACGGGCCTCCTGGGAAGCGCCTGGACGGCGCCAGCGCGGGCAAAGGCCAGCGCGGAGGTGAGGGGAAGGGGGGAGAGGAGGAAGAGGAGAGGAGAGAGGGAGGCCGCTGCCGCATGGTACAGTTCCCGTGCTTCAGAGAATTGTCTGCGGCAGCCTAAGAAGTCAAATGGGAGAAACGAATTGGCGCTCGTCCTGTGGGGGGTCGTGCCCCAAAATCTTCCCGTTTACAGGCTCCTGCAGCGCAATTAGACATCACCGTGGTACAGAAAGCTCCCCTGCCACACATTGCAGGGCCCAGCGATACCTCTGAGCTTCGTGTGGGGCTGCGTCTCTCTGTGAACTCAATCGCATGAAATGCCTGCCTCAAAACCTCCTCCTCCTCCGCCTCCTCCTCACATCCTCCTCCACAGCTTTCTCCGCTGCCTCGCCGACAAGGGCCCGTTCACAGCACCATCCTCTCCAGGGCCTGGTTGGGCACCCGTGTCAGCCACCTGTGGTCCAGCGATGGATCGGCCCGCTCGGCCTGGTACTGCCGGAGCAGCCGGTAGCGGTTCTCCACCGTGTTCCGGTTGACGTACCCGATGGCCACAGCGCGCGACATGCCCGGAGGGACGGCGGCGCGGCCGTGGAGGACGCGCCAGTTGTTGGTCACGACCATGGTCCCCTCTGGCCAGTCGAAGTGGTGGACGAAGCGCGGGTCCTCGACGAGCTGGGACCAGAGCACGTAGGCCTCCATGAAGGGCTCGTACATCGCGTACGGCAGCGCGCAGACGCCGCGCTTGGTCTCGGACTGGACCACCTTGTCCAGGCGCCCCTTCTCGTCGAAGCCGAGGATCGGGTGCGTGTGGACCAGCTCGAAGGCGTCGCCCTTGCTGTTCGGGTCGGTGGGGTCGATCGGCTGGCCCTCCCTGGTGTACAGGTTGTTGCGGGAGCTGTGCGTGATGTGGACCTTGGTCAGCAGCTCGTAGGCCTCTGGGTGGTGCTCCTTCACGTACTCGGCAATGGCGAGGCCGTCGCACACCTTGCTGCGCACGTCGCCCTCCGCCTGGTACAGGAACTGGAGGAAGCCTGGGGTGCCGTGGTACACGGTGTGGTCGGTGTGCATGCACAGCGGGTTGGAGTGGTCGTAGTCCCCCGACTGGGGCTTCTCCGTCTTCCGGATGTAAGAGTACCTGGTGGTCCGCACGGGATGCTGGTTGCACTTGCCAAGGATCTTCCGAACGTGGTTCTCCATCGGCAAGCCGCCGAGTTCGAACTCCAGGCTGTCTGGCTTGCCAATCCCAGTGATCATGGCGACGCCCGTCTTGATCATACACTCGTAGAACTCCACCTGCGCATCAATGTCTGTCTCGAGCAACTTGGAGTCGAACTTGGGCATGTCGACCTGGGCGTCCCAAGGCTTGCGGCTGTCCATCAGGTGGTCCATGAGGCTGCCGGTCTCCCGCACGGCCGGCACGCGGGGTGCCTCGGGGTGCAGGGCCCGGCCGACGAAGGGCGCCATGGCGTGGAGCCACCGCGCGCTGAAGACCTCGGGCTCGGCGGGGCCCGCCTCGGCGTGCTCGTACGCGACGGAGAGCTGCTCGCCGCCGCCCTGGGGCTCCGCGCCGGAGATCCTGTACTTCCGCACGCTCCACACGTCCTCCGCGCAGGTGCGGTAATAGTCCGCGCCCGCGCGGGCCGGGTTGGAGTCCTTGAGCCAGGAGGCGTGCATCTCGTAACGCGTGTTGTCCGCGAATTCGACGATGAGCTGCTTCCCGCCGTTGATCGACGCGCAGTCCACGACCGCGTGGGGGCTCCTCGTGCTGGGCGTGCCCGCGAGGACCCCCGGCATGGCCTTCAGCGTGGGCTGCACCGTGCTCGTGGAGGTCAGCCGCGCCGCCGACGGTGCGGCGGCTCCCCTGAGGAGGCCGCGGCCACGACGCAGCAGAGCGGCCATGGCAGCTTCGCGGCGGGGAGAGTGCCGGTGCGTACCCTGTCGAAGAGCACCTGAGCTCAAAAGCACCTTGAGCGAAAGTGGCTTGAGCCAAAATGGCTATGGACCCGAAGGTTCCCTGGTCTTGGTTCCTTACAAGGCGTTGCCCCGGTGCCTTGATCTTGGTTCCTTTGACCCTTGGTCTTGGCTACTTGGTTCCTTGCTCTTGGTTGTGTGGTTCCTTGGTCCTGGTTTCTTAGTTCTTCGGTGTTGGTTATTTGGTTCCTTGGTCTTGTTTCCCTGGTTATTTGGCCATAGTTCCTTGGCTCCTTGGTCTTAGTTCCTTAGCTCCTTGGTCTTCGCTCCCTGATTCCTTGGTCTTAGTTCCTTGGTTCCCTGATCTTGGTTCCTTGGTTCCTTGGTCTTGATACCTCGGCTCCGTGGTCTTGTGTCCTTGCACGGCCGTCGCGTGTTGCGCCGACGGCCCGCGAGTTCCTCGGTGTTGTTTCCTCACAGGGGCGTACCTCGGGGTTCTTTGGTCTTCTTGCCTTACGAAGGAGTTCCTCGGGACTGCTTCCGCAGCATTGCAAGTCATGCGGGAAGGCGAGGCGATCAAGACAATGCGAAGCAATGCTAGACATCGCCAAAACAGACGTTAGCGGCTCAAGCGAGAGAGACCTCTCGCAAGTTTCCCGCATCGAATACAAGCATCCCACGGCCACGACCTTCGTAACCTGCTTGCTTGACCCTTCCAGAACGATCCTCGCCATAACGTCATCACGTCATTACATTGGTTTCGCTCTCGACTTACTTGCTTACCTTCGTGATTGCTTGCTCACATGCTTACTCACATGCTTGGTCACTTGATCACTCCCCTACTTACGGTTACTTGCATACTCGTGCTTACTCATGAGGTGTTTCCCAGAGTAAGGTCGCACTGGGATCATCTTTGTTTGTTGCCTTGGGCTCAACCATCGAAGAAGGGTCAGGATAGGAGTCTGGGGACCCGTTTTGAAAGCATCTGGGTCTGGGGGGAGGGGGGGCAAAGGAGAACGCGGAGGAGGGCAATAAAAACGGGGAAAGGAGGATGAGCAGGAGGGCAACGAGGGAGGAGAAGGAGGAGGTGGAACGTAGCCAAGAATGACAAGGAGGAAAAGGAAGAGGAGGAAGGGGAGAAGCGAATCTGCCTGCCTGCTGGCTCACGCCCGGCTGTGGACGCAGGCCTGTGAGCGCGTGCAGGACAGAAAAGAGGAGCCGGAGGCGGAGCTGCAGATGGAGGATAGGGAGCCGCCCAGCGGGTCAACTGCCCCACCCTCATGAAAGGCTGGGCTCCTCACGGACGTGTCACCTGCGTCTGTGAGAGATTCGCACCCTGGCTGCACACCGGAAAGATGGCGATCGCTCCAACCTGCCAAGTTGTCGGTGCGCTTCAACGAGGATAGCTGCTCCTCAAGAAACAGCACCAGATCCGCCACCGTGCCGCTGGGCACGGAGAGTGCGTGTCCTCGGGTCCTTCGCCTCATCCCTGAAGCCTCAGTCCTCGCTCCTGAAGAGTCCCACCAGCCCTGTGGGCGTGACTGGTTTAGGGAGCCCTCTCTGTCCTCAACCCCCCTTCTTCCCCTTCGGGGAGGGGTTTACCCCTCCCCCTATACCCCCTCCCCCTGGACCTGGAGAGGGGGGGCCGCGAGGGGTTAGAGCGTCCAGGATGGGCAGCCGAAAAGGCGCCGCATGCTGTAATTTCATAGGGTTTCGGGACCCGACGGGGGGGGCGAGATAAGTGCTCGTCCCTGTTTTGATCGATCGCCTCCAAGATGGCCCCAAGAGACCTCCCAGACCCCCCCAAAGAGCCCCAAGAGGGCCCCAACAGCGCCCCAAGAGAGCCCCAAGGGAGCCCCAAGGGAGCCCGAGAGGCACCACGGGAACCCCAAAAGGGCCCAGAGACCTCCAAAATATCCCCAAGAAGGTCCCGGGATACCCCCAAGATGCCTCCAAGAGGCTCCCAGAGCGAAAGACCCAGAGAAGTAGAAGGATATATGCGTGGGCAGGAGGAGTTGCGCCCGAAAGCCACGACTGCCGGCATGCTTCGCACAAGTTGCTGTTCTGGAATGGGCTGGTGGGGATGCGCGAAGCGTGAAGAATTTCTTAGGAACCCGGACTCTCAAATCTTCTTGGGCTGCGCGCGATTCCCCTGGGCTCCGGGGCATCTCCTCGCATGACTTTTTTCAGAGGGCCCACGACGGACCAAGAGGGCCCCAAGAGGCCCCGAAGACGGTCCACCAGGGCCTCGAGACGCCCGATTATCGCTCCAGGACGCCCACGATGGTCCCCAGATGGCCCAAGGAGCACCCAAGACGCACCAAGGGGTCTCCCAGAGGCCTCCCAGGGGGGCCCCAAGAGGCCAATATGGACTTTGGCGTTCTCGCCTTCCCGGCTTCCCGACGCTCGAAGGCGGCCCGCGAGGCCCCCACCCCCAAGACGGCCCCATAGGGCCCGAAGACAGCCCAGGAGGCGCTCCTCCTCCTCCTCCTCCTCCTCCTCCTCCTCCTCCTCCTCCTCCTCCTCCTCCTCCTCCTCCCCAAAGACAGCCCCGAGAGGGGGCCCGCATGGGGACCTCGAGCGTCGGTCCCGAGGGGCCCCCGGGAGGCCCCCAGGACGCCCCGAGGGGCCACCCGAGAGGCCCCAAGAGGGCCCCAAGAGGGCCCCCAGAGGCCCCCAATAGGCCCCACGAGTGCTCCCAAGGGCCTATTGGGACGAGACCCGAAGAAGCATCCCGTAGATTTGGGCCCCTGGGGCCATCACAATCGCTCCTCGGGGCGCTCTTTGGCCGATATTAGTCACTCTTGGAAATGTTTTGGGGGCATTCGGCGCTCTTGGCGGCTTTTTCCGGGTGGCCAGACAATCGAGGCGACAGAGCAGCCCACGCGCGCCCGCGGCAGCAAGTGCACCAAATTGCAGGGGAGGAGGAGGAGGAGGAGGAGGAGGAGGAGGAGGAGGAGGAGGAGGAGGAGGAGGAGGAGGAGGAAAAGGAGGAGGAGGGAGGAGGAGGAGGAGGAGGAGGAGGAGGAGGAGGAGGAGGAGGAGGAGGAGGGGGTCCCCCAGAGGCCCCCAGGAGGCCCCACGAGTGCTCCCAAGGGGCCACCGAGAGCGCCCCGACGAGACCCGAAGAAGCATCCCCGACAACTCTGCCCCACCATCCAGGCACGGTGGCGACATGGGCCGAAGGCCGTGAGGGTACCAGGACAATTCACAACTAGGGGGCGGGGGCGCTCGCCCCACAGGGATACAATGAATGCAATCAACAATTTCCTGCTGGCATCATGGCGTGCCAACCGCAACTCGCTCTGCCTTGATGCAGCTTGCCACTTCTGCTGCCCTCCCAGCCGAGGAACTCCCACGCGGAGAACGTGAAGAAACTCGAGACATCCGCATCCGCACCACGGTACGCGATGTCTTCGGAGACCATGCCCTTCCCGCAGTGAACCCATCACTCTCGCTTCTGCAAGGGACATTGCGCACAGCATGCGCAATGGCGCGTGAGACATTGCGCACAGAAACATAAGCCTGCAGCTAATGCGCTGGAGCCGGCACCAGACGAACAACGCACCGAAACGTAGAACGCTGCAGACGAGGTAGCCATGAGAATGACATACTCTTTCAACCACATGTTCGTGTGCATATCCTCCTGCTCCTGGGCTGTCGATCTCATTTCTGTGCAACCCCTGCCCACGCCGATAGCCATGACGCTATGGAACTCTTGTGAATTGCCCAATCACCCAACCTCCCCAGACATTCCGGAGGCCGAAGATGGCCAAAAACCGTCCGTCACGATCCTTTTACGACGCGAGGGGGCGGGGGACACTCCTCCCAACTCCGCAACTCCGCCACCCCCATCATGGCCCAGGCATCCCCCGACCAGAGAGGCGGCTCCCCCGCTCAAGGACTTGGTCCCCAGGGACGCCCCAGAGGACTTGGTCCCCCTCTCGAGGACTTGGTCCCCCTCTCGAGGACTTGGTCCCCCTCTCGAGGACTTGGTCCCCCACCACGCCTCCGGCGCCGTGAACGAACCCCAGAAGTCCCCGCCCTCTCGATGACCGGCCGCCGGGCTTCCCGTCCCGAGTCGTCTGGCTGACGGTCCCGGGGCCACGCCAAGGGGCCGATACGTTGCCAAAGACTTCCCGTCGCAGCGCTCGTCACGACGCGACGAGGTCCCGGTCTGGGGGTCAAAGGCCCTTTCAGAAGCCCGACATGGCGAAAGACCTTCCGTCGTCACTAGTTTCAGGTCGGGCATGTCCCCCTACAGGCGGATTTTGGAGGAACAGTTGAAAATACCCCATATCTATCATCCAAACATGATAAAAAACAAATAGTCCCCATATTATGTTTTACTATTTCTAAATATTCCTCCTGTAGAGGGACGTGCCCGACTTAAAGACTATTTTCGCGAAGCACGGAGGCGGGGGGAGCTAGATATCCACTGCGGCGATGACGACAACGGCGGCGGCGGCGGCGACGAGGACGAACGACGGACGGGCGGGTTGACAGCCTTTAGGTGACCCAAAAGGTGGTCCAGCTGAAAGGGGGTGGTGCAATAGATTTGGGGCAACTGTATTGCAAATGTATTGCGCCGGAGAATTTGATTGCATTGCATTGTATTGCAAGTAATGTATTGCACGCGAAAATACAAGAATACATTTGCGCCCTGATATGTATTGCGCGCCCCAAATGTATTGCAATCCCACAAGTCTATAGTACCAACCCCTCGTCGCTGGACCCCTTTTTGGGTCAACCCGACAGCCGCAGGGGCAGCAACGACGACGGACGGTCTCAGGATGGTCACAATCATTGGCGACAACACTGAGGCCGACGACGGAGACGAGAATGACGACGGCGGCGGCGAACGGCGACAACGACGACGCTGACGACCGAGTGCGAGGCTCGAAGATTAACGACGACGAGGGCAACGACGGCTGCGGCGGCGAACGACGAGGCCGCCGAACGACGGCTCGCAACACCTCCTCTGGCACCTCCTCTTCCTCCTCCTCCTCCTCCTCATCATCATCATCATCAGCATCATCATCAGCATCAGCAGCATCAGCATCAGCATCAGCATCAGCATCAGCATCAGCAGCATCAGCATCAGCATCAGCATCAGCATCATCATCATCATCATCATCATCATCATCATCATCATCATCATCATCATCAGCATCCTCATCCTCATCCTCATCCTCATCCTCATCTTCATCCTCTTCCACATCCTCATCCTCATCCTCGTCCTCGTCCTCGTCCTCGTCCTCGTCCTCATTCCTCCCTCTCCTGCCCCTCCTTCTTCCTCCTCAGTCCTCCTCCTCTTCCTCCTCGGTCATCGAACCTCGTTCCTCCTCCTATTTATCCTCCTCGTCCTCCTCCTCCTCCCAGAATGTCTGAAAAAGTGGTGCAACAAACATAGGAATTCGTATCCTTGCCCGCTCGAGAGATGGAGCCGGCTCGAAGAAGTGGTCCGTCCCTGATCGCAAAACTCGGTGCGCAAGGATCTGGAAGTGCCGCCACCAGGTGGGACGGAACAAGGGCCGCCGCCGCGCCGACGCCGAGGCAAGGGAAAGGCAAACCAGGGACGGTCGGGGACGGCGGGGAACCCTGGAGCAAATTCAGGATTAGATGTCGTCGCGCTGAAAACTCTTTTCATCACGCCAAGGGGCGACTAGACTAGCTTCAATAAGCTGCAATAAGCTTCTATAGGATCCGACCCAGGCGGTCATCAGGCGAACATGCAACATGCGCCGATGCCGTCAACCTCGGGGCGCTTCGTGGGGCACATTGGGGCGCCCCGAACACCGCAAAACAGGGACGCGATCGTTGCTCTCGGGCGCGGTGCCGGCAGAAAACTCAAAGCGCCAACTGACCCGATGACTGCGCGGCCGTAAGAAAGGGGGGGGGAAACGACGAGGAAAACGAAAACTTAGCGCCGAATACATGCCGCTCGTGCGACTGAACAGGCAGGCTAAAAAAGAGACAGCGGAGACATGATTCGACAGGGGTGAACGCTGGGCAAATGTGCCCCAATCCCATTTGCGAACACACGCCAACAAAACGGGCTGGCGATTCTCGGGCGCCCACCGCACGGGACGCAGAAGGACGACCTGCCTGGGTCAAAAGCTACGACCCCCACCCGCTCCACAGCCCAGAGACAATGAATAGTATCTCCGGCCCTCTGGCTCTCAGCGTGGTAAGCAGCATCTCAGGCCCTCGGAGTTTAGCACCTGAGGTCGTTTGGTGTCAGCAGGCCGTTTGGCATGCAAGACGCCGCTATTTGCAAGCCGAACGATCAAGCGGCGCCTGCTGTGCGGCTTGGTCTCCGTCTGCACACTCTGGCGCCGATCGTGCGCCAACTGGTGCTGGTCTCTCTCCATCACTCGCGAACTTCAAACACATGATGATGCCTCCATAAGGCAGGCACCAGCCGCGACTGCCGTCTGATCACTCCTCGTGGCCTTCATCGCAGTCATGCTGTTAGCTGGTGGCTCAGCTACTCGCTTACATCCTCCATGTTCGATAAGCAAGACCATTCAACAAGCATTCAGGTGTTCCGTGCCGATGATAGCGACTCTGCCGAGCAGATCGGCTGCGCTGCTGCGCCATCTGAGCCAGAGCTCGTCGACAGCGGCACTCAGCTCGTCGCAAATTAACGGCTTGCGACTGACGTAGATACAGGCAGCATCTGCCATCCTGATGCACCATTCGAGGCTCTGCTCGTTGCTGCTGCTGCCGCATCGCCTGCCGCCCCCAGAGCATCTGCTCCGGCGCTTCAGCGCGCTGAGAGCATCAGTGACCGAGTGCTGCCATGTGGCGCGCGGGGCTCCTCGGTCTTGGAGCCATGGATATGGCTTGGCTGCCAGGAGCATCAGGCTTGACCTTCCAGCTCAAGAGAGCGCCTCGCGACATCCTCGGTCCAACCGAGAAGATGGTCTCGTCGCTCTCCTCGAGCTAGAGATTGAGCACTGCTTGCCCGATGGCAGCTGCGAGACTAGCAACGACGATCCGCTGTTTAACTATGTCTGGTCGGTCGGGGCGACCGTCGTCCAGGCCAAGCGCGCCTGCCTCAGGCGATGCGCTGGGGGCCAATGCAGCGGCCCACTCCTTTCCTGACTCGACAGATTAGAGATGCGACCCAAGCTGAGATTCTGGGGGAGCACCTTAGTCTCGAGATCCATGTGCACTTATTGCTGCGCCCTCTCGCATCTGCCCGGGTTGCCGGCCGTGCCGGGCATGGGGCTGTGCCAAGGCCTCGTCGGCCCAATTGCTATCGAGCGCGCCTAAGAGCCCGCGGCGCTGCTGCTGGCGATCAAGGCGCTCGGCATCTGATCTTCGACCTGCTTACGATTGGCGCCCTGCGGCCCCGCCCCCCGCGAGCTCCGTCGGCCGTCGCTCCGCGCTGAGGCTCAGGATCGGGACCCTTTCTTTCGACGCGGCGGGGGGGGGCGTTGAATCCGCTCGGGTCTGACGCGCTGCGGGCAGGCGGCTGGGCGCTGGCCAGCTGGCCAACTTGTCGACGCAATCTCGCGAGGCCCTGCTCGACGCGCCGTCGCGCCCGCGCAGCGGCGACTCAGGTCCGCCCAGCTTTCGCCGGGCCGACCATTAGCAGCCCGATCGGAACCTCGACCTCGGCCGACAGGACGGGCAGCGGCAGAGCGCTGACGCCGACGACCATATGATCGAGAGCGTCGGCATGGTGCCATAAGAGGCACGGGGCCTACCGCGCCGGCGAGATGGTCGACGACTGTCAGGCCCCTGTGATCTTCGTGACCAGCAGGCAGCTCCATCGCGCTCAACGCGATGGGCTGGGGGCGCTTGGCACGCGGAGGCTGCGTTGACTTCGAGCTAGCCCCCATTATTGTGCCAGCGCGCATTCGCTCATGCGGGCGGAGGGCAGCCTCGCCCAGCGACGCCGTAATCGCCACCCCAGACAGGTAATTGCAAGACAAATCGATGCAAAATGATCGACGCTCCTAGAAGTTTGTCCGAAGCTGAGTAAAGCTGATTCGAGCTACTTTCACCGGATCCAAGTGACTCGCTCGAACTCGCTCCAATTCGTTCTTAATTTGGTTCCAACAGCTTGCGTTAGCTCAATCTTGCTGTGGCTTCAAACTGGCTCGCAATAGGCTCATGAGATCGCACTCGCTCGCGCTCGGTCGCCTGCGGTCTACCGGCCCTGGGTCAACCGAGCGCGAATCCATCCCTTGAGTTGCCCACGCGCCTTCCTATATCTCAAGATATTCTCATGGGCGCCCCAGCATCACCTACGACAGACGCAGCCGTCGCCCCCAGACTCTCTCTACGAGCTCCTCAAAACAGCCTCTTTACAGCAACGCGCGACCAGCTTAGGAAGGAAACTGATAGGGGACATCTCATGGCCGACGTCGTCAACGATGGTGAAGAAATCTGACAACGCCCATCAAAAACGACACAGTGTCGCCCTGAATGAACAGATGGGACCGGGCACGAGTGGCCCAGGCATCGAGGAGACAGCCTAGCACCAGCACTCATTGACCTCGACCGCCCTGACTGTTCTTGACCCAATCAAGTGGCCACATGAACCCTGGGGCGCGCACGATCCAAATATTCTTGGCCCACCTGGGGGCGGGCGCGCGGGAACCTTGCCAAACGGGCCCCCGTTCCAGAAAAAAACAGCGCCGACAGAGAACGGCCATGGGACCTGGGTTGCACGGTAGGCATGGCCATGCGCCTCGTCCAGAAACTCAATCCGAACACCTGGAAATTAAAACCGAGGACGGCCCAGGAAAGAGGGGCAGCCGCGAAAATATTGAACGTCTTGTGCCCGATGTTTACCAGCAGTCCTCTAAGCCTTCGAGTTCTTCTCAAAGGAGCAGCAGCATGGGTTCTTGACTTTGACGCTGCTTCAATTGCCAGCACGAGCAGCAAGGCCAGCACCGAAGTCATAATCTAGGTTGACGAGCCGAATGTAGCCTCCTGTCCGGCGAAGGGCGCGAGTTCCTTGATGTTTTCCTTTGGGACGAAGCTGCTGCGACTGACTATGTCTATCTTGTCCACAACGCAACTTCAAAACTTGCACTCAAGTTTGATCCGTGATGGCGCCCTCGAGAGCACGAGCTGCGCGGACCAGGCCTTGGATGAGCGCCTTCGCTGCTCCTGTGCAGCTCAAGCTGAACTCATCTACGCGCGCGCACATCGGACGTGGCAAACGTCCCCTGACAATGGGCAAACTGGTCGAATACGTCCATCGCGAACACTCTGCTCAGGCTCGTGGTTGTATAAGAGGCCGAAGGGTCAGATCTGCAGACGCCCGGGAACGGGCGTCCAGGGGTGCAACCGCTCTGTGCGCATTATACACTCCGCGCTTTAACCGCGCGCTTCAACCGCCACCCTTGATGCTCCCCTTGACGCACCCCATTGACGCACCCTTTTGACGCGCCCTCTTGACAACCCCCCCTTGACGCACCCCCATTGACGCCCCCCCTTGATGCACCCCTTTGACGCCTTCTTTGATGCACTACCTTGACGCCCCCCCTTGACGCCCCCCTCCACTGATGCACCCCCATTGACGCCCCCCCCCCTTGACGCACCCCCTTGACGCGCGCCCTTGACGCCCCCCTTGATGCATCCCCTTGACGCACCCCCTTCGGCCCTTCATGCGCCCCCTTGATGGTTCTGCAGAGGTGGGCGATCTCTGACCCTCAGCCCCGCTCAGGCTAGTGGCGAACGGGCAGCCGTGATCCCTCGATGCCAGAAATACAGATGCCTCCCAGAGCGAGACACCGATCACACGATTGCGCCTGCATGGCCAAGTGCGCCAAGCACGCAGGAATCTCACGTTGGAGACACTTGCCACTTGCCCGAGAGATACTGCAGGCCAATGTGCCCTTAGTAACAACTACGGGGGTCCAAATTGCCGCCCAGACCTGGCCTCTGCGAGTGCCCGTCTTAGCACGGAAGGCCTGCCTCCCAACGACGTCCCCAGATCCCCTGTGGGCCCGCGAAGCACAGAACTTTCCAGGAAACCTCTGCTCCCACCTAAGGGCATCTCCTTCCCCACACGACCCCAAACACGGTATACCACCAAGGAAGAATACACTGGGCCTTACCCCTTTCCGTGGGTTTGCTGAGATGGGCCATGAGCACCCAAGAGATCTGAATAAGGAAGAAGCCTGTCGCTTCCATAACGGCGAGCCAAAGCGCCATCGTCTGCAGCGCTGGGTCGTAAACGGAAACAAATTCATGCAGTGGAAGCCGTCCACGGCAACAACAATTCCGACACGATACTTCTTAGAGATGGTCGATATCATTGGGCCTCAAAAGAGAACAGTGAGGGAATCGATCGTCGCTGTCAGAAGATCCGTTTCCCTGAACTTCAAAGAATCCGCCCACTTCAGCAGTGAAAAACCAAACTGGAGTCCCAAACAACACCCCCAACACATGGACAACATTGGCGTCGGGACCCACGTCTCGGGCTGCTACATGGTTTGGGTCGCATACCTTTCCCTCTTGTCCAGCCCAGTCATATCCAGTCCCGGTGCTCCTTCCCTCCTCCCTCCTCCTCCTGCTCCTCCTCCTCCTCTTCCTCCTCTTCCTCCCTCTTCCTCCCCCTTCCTTCCTCCCTTCTGCCCGTCCCTCCTCCCTCCTCGCTCCTCCCCATCCCCTCCTCCCCATCCCTCCTCCTCCGCCCCCTTTTCCTCCTCTCCCCCTCCTCCTCCCCCCATCCTCCTCCAACCTCCCTCCTCCCTCCTCCCTCCTCCTCCTGCCTTCTCCCCCCTCCCTCCTCCCTCCTCACTCCTCCTCCTCTCTCCTCCCTCCTCCCTCCTCCCTCCTCCCTCCTCCCTCCTGCCTCCTCCCCACTCCCTCCTCCTCCTCCCTCCTCCCTCCTCTCTCCTCCCTCCCTCCTCCCTCCCTCCTCCTCCTCCTCCTTTTCCTCCTCGTCGTTTTCCTCCACATCCGCCTCGCTCCTCCTCCTCGTCGTCCTCCTCCTCCTCCTCCTCCGCCTCCTCCTCCTCCTCCTCCTCACCCCTCACCCTCCCGCTTCCTCCCTCGTCCCCAGCGACGACGAGGGCGACGACGAACGGCGTCGCAAAGCCCCCAGGCCCCCCTCCGCGCACAGCGCCGGGTTCAGCTCCCCCCCCGACGCCGCGCCGGAGGCGCAGATGCCCGCGAAGAGGCAGGCGGCCGACGCCTGCCCGCGCCCCAGAGGGGGAGACGACCTCGCAGGACACAGCGAGGGGCAAGATGAAGGCTGGACGCGGGGACGCCAGTCGGCGGTGCGCACAGGAGGGGGAGAGAGGGGGCAGGCCGTCTCAAGGGGGCGGCCGAGCTTCTCGGAAGCCCTTCGGCCATCTGCGAAGTGTTCAGTGTCTTCGTCTTCTGCGTCGTAAGCCCTTCCGCCTTCTGAAACTTCGGTCGGGATCTTTTGCGCAGGGTGTCGCGGCGGCGGCCCAGGCGACAGGCGATGCCTTTTTACGAGCGGACAACGTGTCGCTTCAGCCCTCGGGGCGGGGGGCTCGGAAAAACTCAGGACGCTGATGCTGGGGGGCCAGGAAGTGGATGGCTGGCGTGTCGCTCCGAGGCGTGGGGACCAGAACCGGCGGAGCGACACGCTATCCAAAAATGCCCGAGGAGGAGGAGGAGGAGGAGGAGGAGGAGGAGGAGGAGGAGGAGGAGGAGGAGGAGGAGGCGGAGGAGGAGGAGGAGGGTGGGAGGAGGAGGAGGAGGAGGCGGAGGAGGAGGAGGAGGAGGAGGAGAAGAAGGAGGCAGAGGCGGAGGCGGAGGGATCATCGAGCCGGAATCGGCAATCTGTCGTCGATAGGTCGGCGACGGGCCCCCGACAGCGAATCCGCGCGCGCCTGGGCGGTGTGGGCTGTCGGGCCCCTGTCGGCGATGAGTGGGCGATTGGGGGGTGATGCGCCCCCCCTGAGCCTAGTCCCCCCAGACGTTGCCTCTGAACGTTCAGGTCGGGGTCGTCGGGCGTGTCCGCTGGCCCTCCGCGGCTTTTCCGGCCTCGGGATGCCCTCCAGCGGCTGCGCCTCGCCGAGAGCGTCCTGGGGGCGCCCGGGCCATCCCGAATGGCCGACGCCTGTCCGGCGGGGGGGCTGTGAGGCCTCGAGTTGTGCATCGACAGCAGGACAAGCGCGTGGCCTGGATGAGGACACGAACTTCTGCGAATGCTGTCGGCCCACTCGTCCACCGGCATGCCGTCAGGCTCCGGCCTCCCCGGTCAGAATCTGGCCGAGGGGGCTGGAGCCTGGGGGCCTTAGTGGGCTCCCTCCTCCTGCTTTCGCCTTTTGGGGGCGGGGGCTGGTGCTGGGGATGGCCTCCTCCTGCTTTCGCCTTGTGGTGGTGGTGGAATGGATGCGGAGAACACGGAAGCGAGATACCAACAAGTCGGGCACGGATAGATCATCTCATCTCATCTCTTAGGGCTGGTCAGTCCAGAATAATCATGTGGCAACATCGTCGTTCTAGGTCTCTCCAGAACGCTCCAAGGAAGCTTCACAACAAGACCCTCGAACGCGACATCTGTACCCTGGGAGAAAAAGGCGGACGCAGCGAACATCATCGTTGAGACTGCGCTACTGCCGCTCTGAGACGCGCGGCGACAACATCCTCTGCTTGCACATGCAGCCCCGCCCGCGCGTGGACACAAGTGGCGAGCGGGGCTAGATGCCTTTCTGAAGATGACCTCTGGTTTGGTGGTTACCGAAGGTGTCCCTGGCTCAAGGTGTCCCCAGTTTTTCGTTTCGCTCCATGTTGGGACTGTTGCAGCCCTGGGGCCCTCTGGACCTCGCAAGGGGTGCTCTGGAGACCGTGGGTGCCTCCTTGGACACCCTGGGGAAACATCAGGCCAGGGACACTTGGCGGTGAGTACCCTGCTCAATGCCGTGGACGGCGCTGCGCCACCAGAGGAATGCAACGGCGTGCACACAAACTCTCGGAGCTCCGCCGCGACGTCTTGGTTCGGCGATGGGCCCCCCTGCCTGGGGTGGCCCGGCGTAGGTCCAAGGAATCACCCCCGAGCCCGAGCTCGGAAAAGGTTAGATTGATGCAGCTGTGCCTATCTTTTTCTCGAGCTGCAGTAACGCACGCAGGCGGCGCTCTCAGGCCGTGGCCGTGCTAACTCTCTCGGCATTGGATGTCGATCGCCACGAGCGGACGGCGCTGCGCTGCGGTGGCGCGGGCAAGCGGCGCTCCCGGTTGCGCAGGGGCCGACCGTCTCGGCAATCCGATAGACCTACCACGACATGCCCCTAGAATAACTACATAATGCTCCAAGAGCAGACGCAATGCCCTGAGAAGAGAGAGCCGACGTGCTGGGCAAAGACGGCCTCGGCCAACAGATGGTCCGAGAGCACGCCGTGCGAGCCACAGACAAGGCTGTCAGGAGCATCTCCTGGTGGGCCCATCGGCAAGCCAAGGACGCTTCGCCACTGCTCTCCAGGAAGGCAGGGGCGAGGGGGAGGAGGAAATAGAGGAGGAGGAGGAGGAGGAGGAGGAGGAGGAGGAGGAGGAGGAGGAGAAGAATGAGGCGGAGGAGGAGGAGCAGGAAGAGGAGGAGGGGGAGGAGGACAAGCTATGTGCACTCGCGTCATATCTGACGTCCTACCCCTCCCTCCCATCCCTTACCATGGCGCTGATTTTCTCTATCCGCGGACGCGTGTCGCAGCGGACCTGTGGCTCCGCGCGCGCGTGCGTAGTGGGTGGTGGTGCGCGTGCGTGCGTGTGTGCGTGGTTGTGGTTGTGGTTGTGGTTGTGGTTGTGGTTGTGGTTGTGGTTGTGGTTGTGGTTGTGGTTGTGGTTGGTGGTGTTGGTGTTGGTGTTGGTGTTGGTGTTGGTGTTGGTGGTGGTGGTGGTGGTGGTGGTGGTGGTGGTGGTGGTGGTGGTGGTGGTGGTGGTGGTGGTGGTGTGTGTGTGTGCGTGTGTGCGCGTGTGCTGTGGTGTGACGTGGTGTGGCGTCTTGGTGGTTTGGTGGTGCCAGGTGCGTGCGTGCGTGATGGCGCTGGTGGTGGTGGCGGTGGTGGTGGTGGTGTGTGGTGTGTGCGTGTGCGTGTGCGTGTGCGTGTGTGTGTGTGTGTGTGTGTGTGTGTGTGTGTGTGTGCGTGCGTGCGTGCGTGCGTGCGTGCGTGCGTGCGTGCGTGCGTGCGTGTGTGTCTGTGTGCGCGCGCGTGTGATGTGGTGTGACGCGGTGTAGCGTGGTGGTGGTGGGTGGGTAGTGGGGTGGTGGTGGCGGTGCGCGTGCGTGCGTGCGTGCGTGCGTGCGTGCGTTGGTGGGTGGAAGTGGCGGTGGGCGGGGCGGGGCGCGGTGCGGTGGTGGCGGGCGGATGGGCGCGCGAGAATGAGGCCCGCGCTGGGGCGAGAACGCCATCCTGAACGACGGAGGCAAAACACCGATCCGAAAATGAGACCCACGCTGCAGCGGGACCACGACTCGGAACGAGCGGGGCCCGAAAATGAGGCCGGCGCCTCAGCGAGAGCAGCATTTTGGAAAAAAATGCAGGCGAAAACCCACCTGTGTAAAAAACAATACGCGGGGGGGGGTCGGCTACTCCCATTCCGCCATCAGGGGAAGAGGGAGAGTAGTATTCATATTGAGTAATTGTGGAGGAAGAGGAGGAGGAGGAGGAGGAGGGAGGAGGAGAGGAGGAGGAGGAGGAGAGGAGAGGAGGAGGAGGAGGAGAGGAGGAGGAGGAGGAGGAGGAGGAGGAGGAGGAGGAGGAGGAGGAGGCGGAGGCGCTCTCAGGCCGTGGCCGTGCCCAGGCTCGCGGCGGCGAAGCCGATCGCCGCGAGCGGCTGGCCCACGACGCGCAGGCCGGCGAGGAGGCCCAGGCCCTGTGGCAGCCGGGCCCGCTCCTCCTCGTCTCCGCCCACGGTGTCGACGACGGCGGGAGGCTCGGAGGCTGGCGCCAACACCGCTCCCACCAGCACACTGGGCTTAGGTCGGGCGTGTCCCCCTACAGACGGATTTTAAAAGACAAATCAAGAATGCGCAAACAGTATTCCAAAATAGCCAAGAATAGTCCAAAAATCGGCCCCATACTATTTTTGTACTATTCTTGAAGATTCCTCCTGTAGAGGGTCAGGCCCGACTTAACACTGGGCGTGAGTGGTTTGCAGCGGGCTTCCGCTTCCGGCTTCCCCTTCTTTCCCCTCGGGCCCCTCGGGGGGATGGGCTCACCGCTCCCCCTCCCAGCGCCCCCCCTTGGGTCCGGAGGAGGCGCCCCGCGACCCATCGGAGCGTCCAGGAAGGCGCCAGCGAGAAGACACAGCTCATTCGTGTTGCTTGTGCTGTGGGCCGATGAGGGCCTCCTGGAGGCGCGGAATGACCTCAACGGGGGCCAGAACCAAAACACTCAAGGCGATGATTGAGAAACGATTTGCCTCAGAAATCTGGGACAGCCTGCAGACACGATCTTGCGCAAACGCTGGGCCAGTCATGCTCTTTCAACCCCGAACGTGCGAAAGTGGAATCCTAATAATAAAAACGAATGTAACAATGACAAAAAAAGAATAATCCGTGCCAGCTTAATGAAGTTGCCGACGAAACGCGGTGCAACTGTATCGGCGGTTGCCTCCACTGAGACAAGATGATTCCGATCTCGGTGATTGTGGTACTATTCGGGTTTCTGAGGTTGCCAAAGTATCACTACAAACTACCAGCACCAAAATCCAGAACCACCCTTCCCCAGGCGGAGACGCCCCTCTGTGCTGGTGCTGCTGCCAACGTCCAGGCCTCCAGGATGAGCGCGTAGAACGGCTCGGCGCCCTGCAGGGACGTGGGGGTGAACTTCCAGCCCAAATGCAAACCCTTCCTGCACCGGGTGCACACGAGGACCGACCAGGCGTAGCCCGGGAACCACGAGTCCAGCGCCTGCTGCGGCGGCGCTTCCACGATCTGGACGCCGTCGAGGTCGATGCGGCGCAGCGGGAGGACCTTGAAGGGGAGCTCGAGACTCGAGAGGCGGCGGGGCTGCTTGAAGTGGTAGAGGTGGATGTCCTGGCCCGCCACGCGGCGCCTCTCGAGGCGCAGGAAGGCGTCGTCCTGCACGCGCAGGCCCTGGAGCGCCAGGGACGGGGGCAGGCTCAGGCCCTGCACCGGACACGCGCAGTGCTCCCCGTGGCCCGGTGTCTCCCCCTGGCTCGGGCGACGTGAACTGACCTCCTCGCCGCACATGGCCGGGCCCATCCTGGGCCCGGATCGGTGCCTCCTCCTCCTCCTCCTCCTCCTCCTCCTCCTCCTCCCCCGTCCTCCCCCTCCTCCCCCTCCTCCCCTCCTCCTCCTCCTCTTCCTTCTCATTCCTCCTCTTCCTCCATCCTCCTCCTCCTCCTCCTCCTCCTCCTCCTCCTTCACAATTACTCAATATAAATACTACTCTCCCTCTTCCCCTGATGACGGCTTGAAAGTGTTAGCCCCCCCCCTCCCCGCGTATTGTTTTTTCACACAAGATACCCCGGAGTTGGGTTTTCGCCTGAGTTTTTTCCAAAATGCTGCTCTCGCTGAGGCACCGGCCTCATTTTCGGGCCCCGCTCGTTCCGAATCGTGCTCCCGCTGCAGCGCTGGCCTCATTTCCGTGCTTCCGCTCGTTCCGAATCGTGCTCCCGCTGCAGCGCTGGCCTCATTTCCGCGCTTCCGCTCGTTTCGACTCGTGCTCCCGCTGCAGCGCTGGCGTCATTTCCCGTGCCATGCCACGGCATGCAATGCAATGCTAGGTTGATACTACGCTTTGCGGTGCTCTTCTACGCCATGCCATGCCGTGCTCACCATGCATCGCGTACCCTTTCGGGATCATTGCCCTGCTCGACATCCGACTGTGCGAGTAGAGAGGGGATCTACGCAATGGTAAGGGATGGGAGGGAGGGGTAGGATGTCAGATATGACGCGAGCGCACCTAGCTTGTCCTCCTCCCCCTCCTCCTCCTCCTCCTCCTCCTCCTCCTCCTCCTCCTCCTCCTCCTCCTCCTCCTCCTCCTCATGGGGGCACACACACACCGCCCGCGCCCAGGATCGGACAAGCCAAGATCGGTGAGGTGGTCCACTGCCGTCGCCCGACTGGTCGCACTGACCGGGCTTCCCGGACGCGTACGGGCTTCCAGTGGCCAAGACGACGGCTTCACGGGCGGAAGCCTGGCCGGCGAGGAGAAGGAGCGAAATGCAAACGCACGCGCGGCTCATGCCAACAATGTGGAAGCTGCCGCCGCG